TTCAACGTTTATTTATTTTGGGGACAGAGAGAGACAGAGCATGAACGGGGGAGGGGCAGAGAGAGAGGGAGACACAGAATCGGAAACAGGCTCCAGGCTCTGAGCCATCAGCCCAGAGCCCGACGCGGGGCTCGAACTCACGGACTGCGAGATCGTGACCTGGCTGAAGTCGGACGCTTAACCGACTGCGCCACCCAGGCACCCCTCAATTGCTGCACTCTTGCGGCAGGACCTGAAACCCGAAATGCCCGCAGGCAGGTGGCCTAAACCGCAGAAGCCAGCTGAGTACGAGGCCGTAGGGAGTGGCAGGCGTTATGGCTTCTGAAGGGACAGTTGCCCCTTGACTCCTGTCAGTTGAGGGCAGATGGCCAAGCTACATTCGTTTTTCAGAGAAGCTGGAAGTCCCAGTACTTCTGTAAACTCACCTGATGGACGATCTTTTAAGTACGGGGTGGGTCAGGTGCAACACAGTCAGTGATCTTTTTGTCTGGGAATCTGTGATTTCAGTGCTTTTCTATCTCTTTTGGGAGCCGACTTCTAGCCCCACATCCCAGCATTCCCCAGCCCCTTCCCTAGATCCCTAGAGTGGCTGAGGCTCTGACCACTGTGTTCCCTCCCAAGGACAGGGGTAATGGGCTCTGAAGCCAAGAGAGCCTGGGGAAGGGGGGGAGGAGGGTTTGCCTTTTATGTTCCCAATGGCGAGGGGGGCCAGGGAGCTGCAGATAGGGGGCTGGGCCCTTTTGGAAGAGGCAGACCTGGTGAGCCCTAAGGGCGTCCTTAGTGGTGCCTGTGTGTCCCCTGCCCCGCAGAGAGAAGGGCCGTAAGGAGAGAGAGACTCTACAGCAGATGGCAGAGGTCACCCGAGAGGGGTTCCGCTTGAAGAAGATTCTTATTGAAGACTGGAAGAAGGCTCGGGAGGAGAAGCAGGTGAGGGACCCCTTGGGGCCGACCCAGGACCATCTGGGCCCTGAGGCCTGGAGCCATGGGCTGGCGAGGCTGGGTTGGATTGACTCCCGCCCCTGACTGGCGGAGTCCCGGGGCCAGTGACCGTCTGTCCGCTGGGTGTTTAGCCATCGGTGAAGCCATTCCCAAGTGCTGGTCAGTACAGGTGTCCACCAGGGCCTCGGGCGGCAGGCTGACGTGGGCTCAGAGGAGCGCCCCTCCTGCTTTTTAGAACAGGAGCGACGCCTCTCTGCATCCTGGTTCCGTGGTACCATCATCTGTAAGATGAGGCCGGTGACCATGTGACCTCCCGGTTCTGGGGGGAGGACTCAGGACATTGTCCGAGCAGCCGGGTTGGTTCAATAGGGTGAGTGCCGCGGGGACTGGAGGAAACTGTGTCCCCGGGCATGTGTCTCTTCCTCCGCTGCCTGCCACCCCCTTGGCTGTTAGATGGGTCAGAATCCTCCACCTGTTCCCGGACTCCTGCCAGACCGCACAAGGGCTTCAGCTGTATCTTGCTGCCCAGGGAAGGTTCCAGGTCTTTCTCACCTCCGTGCCCTGGCCAGCGAGGTCCCTCCCGAGTTTGGGGTGGGGAGGGCAGCGGAGTCCTTTCTGAGTTCGGGGGCGAGTGGGGGCGCCATGCAGTGAGGTTGGCTCCAAGTGACCTTTGCCCTCCTGGGGCGGTAGGAGGATCCTGGAAGCAGGCCCGGCTGAGGTGTTGGCCGAGGTCTGAGGAGGAAAATGACCCGTGGGGGCTTGGGCTAAGACCCTTCAGCTTGGGGCCCCATCCACGCAGCACACTCGTTTCTTCTCAGAATGTCCACAGAGGCCCAGGATGTGCCGTGTACTGGGCACGAGATTGGAAGCAGACCTGGAACTCCCTCAAGGGCAGGTCGTCCAATGAGAGGAACAGACGACAAAGTGACACCCAGGGCCCCTGGAAAAAGGGACATTTGGGGCTATGAGGCATAGAGGAGACCCGTGCCCGACTCGTCTCCCTCCTCCCCCCGTTGTGAGGGCAGGAAGCCGGGAAGGCCCCTGGAGGAGGAGGAGGAGGCGGCCTCTATCTAAAGTGAAGTCCGTAGGGTCATACAGAGTTGGCCACGCAGAGTGCTCTGGACGGAGGGAAAGCACGTGTGAAGGATTGGAGGCAGAGAGCATTTAGGGCCGTCTAACTGTTGTTGGGGTAGCCGTGGGCAGATGCCGCAGAGGTGGGCCCGGTGATACGGGACCTTGGGGGCTACGTTGGGGCGTTCGGGTCTCTCTCCGGTGAGCCGTGGGGAGCCACACGAAGGGGGAGATCCAGGGAGGTGTGTGTGGGGGCCAGGTCGCCTGTGGCCGCCCTGTGGTGTGGCAGTAGGGGGGCGGCGCTCGGGAGGAGGAAGGCAGCACACAAGGAGAGGTGGAGCATCGTGTCTTTGGCCCACGCAGGAGAAGCTCGCCGAGCTGCAGGCCGGAAAGAAGTCCCTGGAGGACGAGGTGGAGGTGCTGCGAATGGCGAAGGAGGAGGCTGAGAAGCCAGAGAAGGAGGCCAAGGACCGGCACCAGAAGCGGTGGGAAGGTGCGTCATGGGGTTGGCCGCGGCTGGCCCGTGTCTCCTGCCCGGGAAGAGCCTGGGCCCGGGAGACTCTTGCTCGTTATCGTTATCTGCTGTTTCTTGCGTCCACCAGCCTTTTTTTTTTTTCATTTACTTATTTTGAGAGAGAGAGAGAGAGAGCACGCGCACGCCTGCACATACGTGAGCAGGGGAGGGGCAGAGAGGGAGAGAGAGAATCCCAAGCAGCTCCGTGCTGTCAGCGCAGAGCCCGATGCGGGGCTCAGCCCCACAAACCTGACCTGAGCCGAGATCGAGAGCCAGGTGCTCAACCGGCTGAGCCACGCAGGCGCCCCGTGTGTCTACCGACCTTTGATCGTGGTGCCTCTGCTCCCCACGCACCTCGTTGTCTTTGCCTATCAGTCGTCGGATTTGAAACTCGTTTGTAGGGATCCTTTGCAGCTCAGCAGAAGTGATTGTGTTCTGGGAGGAGAGGTTTTTCTTTCTGCCAGCCACGTGGGAACACTACCTTCGGTGTGGGGGGAGGGGGTCTCCCGAGTCCAGATCGAAGGCTGGAGATCCCTCTCGGGCAGAGTGAGCCGAGGTGTGAGCACAGGCTAGGTGATCTCTGGTCCAGTCTCTCCTTAAGGGGATGGCCCTGAGGGGTCACAGCTTAGTTACCCCTTAATGGGGCGGGGGCGGCTCTCCTCCCCACCTGGGGCTTTGATTTCTCTCTCCCTGTGTCCCGTGTTCTCGTCCAGACAGACATCCCCATTTGCCAGGAGCTTCGTGCTTTTTTCCCTTCCTGAGTTGTTCTTCGTCCCGGCAATCTATGTCACCTTGGTTGCTTGGAGGTGGTTTTTTATGCTTTGTCCAGCACTTTCTCACCTGTGGCGGGTTGTGCTGCCATTATGGGAAGTCAGAAGCCTCGGCCCCGGTTCTCACTGTCTGTCCAGTGGGGGTCA